GTTTCCGTAGGTGGATTTTTGACACGGGTCTTGCCCGTGTTGAGATTGCGCTGGAACCCCCATTCCCTATACTACTTCACACGACGCAATTTGTTGCACGCAATGCTGCTGAAGTAGAAAACGATCCTACATCAGTAACTTTGCGTGTAATATTGCACCGTGTGTCCGTCCTTAGCGCAAATGTTCGTGCTCAAAACTGCCTAAAATGTCACCTCAATGCTCACTCTCAGAAAATTGTTTTTTCAGAAGGACAAGAACATGCGCCCGAGTATAAACGCGGAACGTACCATTAAAACCTTCTCGAACATCTTTGTATTTTGGTCGACAGAGTTGTGAAGCTCCTCACTCAACTTATTATTCTCTTCCTACAAGAACAGCACAAGAAAATACAAGATCAGTTGAAGAACGAGTAAAAGGTTCTTATGCATAAGGGCATTTACTAGGCTGGTTGATAGACTGAGACTGTCTAAGACGCATACAAAAGACTAACACAACTTAGATGGACATTTAGAAAGTCTTCAAGATTAAATTTTACCTCTAGTTGGTTAACGCGTTCTGTCAGCTCATGCAAGTTCAATCCCATGCCATTTCTTTTGATAAAGAAAGAATAGAAAAATATAACTGCGTGAAAAATGTAATGCATGCTGAGGGCTGAAAAAAAACTGTCAAACCGGCCAGCTAAGTAGCACCAGCAAAGATCAGGTAAGTGAGATGTGTCAGAATGAGAGGAAGAAAAGGGATGGAAAAAAGAAAATAGACGAATGAAAGAAAGGAAATAAAACGTCATGCAAAAGGTAAGACGAGGACCAAATTACGAGAAGAACAATGAATTGTTGTCCTTACTCGATTGCATCTGGTAATGTTCCATTGATAGTTTGTCCTTGTATTAGTTGAAGTTGAAGCATTTGAACCTACAAAAAAAATTCAAGACAATTTTGTAAATTCGTGTGGTCTTTACAACATTCTTCAACTGCGATAATAAGAACATACGAGCAAAAGGTCAAGTCATGGCTATGCAGCAACATTAAACAGTACTGGTATTCAATAAGCGGACGTGATAAGTTTGAGATTTTTATCTTGTCTCAATAGTCCAACCTGGTCATTGCCAAACTTTGTTTCAACTTCAAAAAGTCGAGTCAGCATGAATTCCATCAGCTGAATTTCATCAGTTGTACCTGTTGTTTTAGTCTAGCCATTTCAGCAGACACTGGATCTCGGTTCACGATTGGTTTGTTCTTGATTTGTCGCGCTCTGTCGGCGTAACGAAGCGTGTTGAGTGTTTCTTCGTAGTTGCTGTCAGCAGGACTGACGCAGGCGATCATAACTGTGTTGCTGTTACCTCCCAAGGAATCTGGTAAGAAACATGATAAGATGAATGTTGGATGGATGGATCGAAGGATGGATGAATGGGATGGATAGATGTGTTGATTGGAAGGATAGGATAGGATGCAATAGCTTAAATTGTTTGGTTGAATGCATTGAAAACAGGAATGGATTAATAGAATGGATGAGATGAACTGTAGGTTTGATTGGTTGGTAGAATGGATGGATAGAATAATGGATGAATGAATGAATGGATGGATGGATGGATGGATGGATGGATGGATGGATGGATGGATGGATGGATAGGTTGTTTGAATGGCTAATGGATGAGTGGGATGCATGGAATGGATAGATGATTGGATTGTCAAACAATCAGATGCTTGAATGTACAACTGATGGATAAAAAAAAACAAATTTCACTCAAAAGGATTGATGGATGGAAGAAACTAATGAAAACTGGAAATGAATGAATATCCCATCTTTACAATACCTTGTAGAAGTCTAGTAAGCTTGGAGTCCCTGTAAGGTACATGGGCATTGGATTTCCTCTGTTCATCGCTCAAAGCACTAATAACATTCCCCAGGGCCAAAAGACCTTTGTTGATGTTCACTCCTTTGTTAGACAATCAAAAATATATTGGTCACAAAAATAAACACTCTTGAGATATAACAGTGAGTTGAATGCTAAGCTCTGAATGTCAGGAGCATAGCCAAAACTTCCCATGGGGGTAGTTGTAGGGTTTCACTCCTATATTAATAACAAATCACCCACCCCTTCCCCAATACACATTGCAAATTTTTGTTAGGTCTTCAAGCTTTTTTTTACAGCCAATGAAAAGGGGGATAGGTCACTCTAAGAACTTGCTGTTCCCATCAATAAGTACCTTCTTTGAATCGTTCTCCCTGAGCATTGGTTCTCTTGCAGCGCTCTGAACCAGCCAAGTCTACAAGATGAAACTTGGCTCTTTTTATGTCCCTAATATAAAAAATAGTTATAATCATTAAACACTTTAACTTCCAAACTACCTCACATCAATAGGAAAATTATGAAAATTTCCTGCTAAGGAGCAAGCAATATATATCTTTGCTGATCTGAAATAATCTATCGATCTATGAATCCATTTACCCTTCTCCTGTCTTATCCTTCTGTTCCATGATAATTGAGAATATTGCATGTGATCGGCTTGAGGTGCTGTTCATTGCTGTGGCACCAGTTGCTCTTGCTGCTGATCCATTACACAGTGCCTTCACCATCTCTTCGCCTGATGAAACTGGCAGCTCCATTAGACCTGCAATCTGTAGAAGAGACAGATTTTTCCTGAGATAGTGAATATGATCATGGGTGCATTTGTGGTTTGCTTTGTTCCCAGCATCATTTGTACATCATGGTTTATTTGGATTGTACCCAAGCTAGACCACAATGCATCATGTTATTTCAGAAAAGGCCTAACATGCAATTTTATTGATAGAAATATTGGTTTCTTTTTTCTCATGAAAACACACAAAAAAACATAATTTAGTAAGACAGTAGCCTGTGTTGATTAGCGGTCTATGTAGTTGCAGACCATTGAGTAACACAGGGTAGTAAAACAGTAAGTTACTGCAGTTTTCGATATTCTGCGAACTCCAACATTTCAACCGTGCTAATTGTGAAATTGGTTTCTTACTGCAGCCAGTCAAAGTCAAGAACATAAGAGGCATCCACTGATTATTCTTGATTGACAGCAGTGAAAAACTAAATTTAAGCGTGCAGCTTGCAACCACCGAGTTTGCAGAATACGAAAAACCGCAGTAACTGGGTATTAGATATTCAACTTACCTTGATTCCACCATCAACGTTTTCTCTTATTGCTATTTTGTCGCTTGACGAGGAAGGGTTCAGCAAGTCATGTATTTCTTCATTATGAATCTGGTACAAGAAAATGACATACAGTAATATTATATTGTGGTAACATATGAAGGTTATTGTCCAAACATAAGGTCAGGACAGAGAGGTATACTGTATGGTAGGTATGTGCCCTTTACTTTGCATTTTATAAAAGAAATAAAAAACTTGCTTGCTGTGATGTGTGGAGTCATAAAGCACTTGGGGATTGGCAGAACACTCGAGAAGTGTCAGGAAGCATTCCGCTACTCCTCCACTTCTCTCCTAACACTTCTCTCATGTGCTGCCAATCCCCACATGCTTCATAACTCCAAACAGCACTCACACACGTTTTCGATTTGTTCATAGTAACTAAACAATTAGTCAAATCATGGTTCCATTACCTCAAGAAATGAAACTTTCAAAAGAAATTCAGTCTCATCCTTCTTGTTTTCCATGTGTGTAAATAAATCAAGGATTGTCCTAGGGATCACACCTTGGACCTCCATATCATCCTTGTTAGTACACATCGTAAACCCAGTACCCATCGAATAAGTCTTTCCAGAACCTGTTTGTCCATATGCTAAAAGAGTAGCATTGTATCCCTTGAAAAATCTATCAAGTAGAGGCACCACTGTCTGTTTGTACAGGTAACTCTGTGAGGCCATTGTCCCATATACGTAATCATAAGTAAAGGCTTTATTATTGCCCATGACCACTTGTGGTTCTCCTGGTGTGATGTCAATACATTCCTGACATCCTTCTCCTATCTCTTTAGGAAGAAGTGGTCGTATTCTTACAGCTACTTGAACTGGAATGGTCTTATCTGTGCTTGTCTCTGGCATTTTGGTTAGTTGTTCAGTGTTCAGACATATATGTGTATTCTTTAATATATTAATAAATTAGAAAATTCTGAAATGCAAAAAAAAAGAATTAATTAACAAGGATAGTAAATGGGGACTGAGAGAAAGAAGAAATGAATGGATAGGAGAGAGATAGTGAAAGTAGAGGGACATATAGTTCATTAATTATTATCATTTTCATTCATTAAAGGACTCCTTCCTTGGGGTGCAACCACATGCCTCAAAGTCCCTTGAGATAAAATAACGATGAAGCAGCCGCCAATTTGTTGAACTATTAACCAGGGAAAGTTAATGAGGAATGCTTTGTTAATGTAATATACACCTCAGAAAACCTATTTTATTTATTTCAACTAATGAGTAAACTTTCTGTAAAATAAACCAAATTCATGCGTGTCTTTGACAGAACGATTTTCGTGAGAGTTGGTTCGATTCAAAAACAACTTTGTCCATCAATCAACAACTACTGTAATATTCGATATGTACTAAGCTTACGTTTTCATTTTGATAACAAGTTGATCAAGAACCTCAAGCTATTAAGTATAATGTTTAAAACAAAGTATTTTTACTATAATAATACACATAGGAGATTCGAACCAACAGATACTCGGAGTGAATTAAAGTCATCGAGATAAAACGAATATTAATAAGTCCAAAACAATGCTTTGGCTTAACGATAGCCTCAAAATAGAATAAAACAACTTACCTACAAAAATTAGAAGTATATATATTAAAATTTCAGGCAATAAACATTAGAAATAGCCGGTCCGTACTCCAAGTATTTACCCGCTCGGCCTTGTAGATTTCAAAATAACCGCCAGACAGCTTACCCACAATACACTGCGCACCAATACGAGCCCGCGGTAGCTTCCATGTCACCCAGCGGTTAACTTCACAAGGTTTCATTTTTTTGCCCAAAGTCACTGGAATTTCTAAATATTCTGCTGGTTTTTGCCTCATTTTAACGATAATCTAGGCCTTTAAAAGGCCTTATTGGATAGCAGATGTCATGAAGGTAGTATATTCTATATATTTGTTGCTCCTTGGGTTGATATTCGGAAGCAGACTGTAGTTTTTTAGGGCGACGTCTATCGGCACGTCATGAAATTTATTTTGCTTCCCGTTGAAGTCAAGATTAGAGTCTTCTTGCGTTGATATTTGATATTTAATTTCGTTTTCCACTTATTTAATACGTTTAAATCATTATTGCTTTAATACGATCTCTTCAAAATTACATTTAACAGCGAACTAAAGATCTAAGCATAAAGAAACGTATCTTTCATTAACATATATAATTAAGCGTACTGTATGTTTTGATTTTATTCATGTTTGCTTTTAGATGCCCATTAGGGCTTCGGTGGGTTTGATTCGGTATTGTCTCTTCTTTTCTATAAGCCGCCCAGCTGTCTGTGTCAGCATCTAGTTACAGAATACCTGGTGCAATCGAAAAACACCAATGCAAAACGGATATAAACAACTTGAATTTTCAAAATGTAGTCTTGGATAAACCATGCAAGCTCAAATATTAGGAAAAGAAATAGTTGATGTTTTATCTGATCAGTGTGTCTTTCATTTAATGATCCATAGATGTAAAAAGTGAAAGGAAAGCTGTTTCTTAAGCTATCAACAAGATGAGCAAGCCAAAACCTCCCCCTCCACCTAGACCTGACCTTGATGAAGAACAGAGGTAATATTTAAAAATTCATCCATCTATCTATTTACTCACCCATCCACCATCCATCCATCTATTCACCCACTCATCCATCTATCTATTTGCCATTCCATCCTTCTACCCCCCCATCCATCTATCCACCCACCAACCCATGCATCTATCCATCCATCCATCTATCCACCCCATCCATCCATCCATCCATCTCCCAATTAATTCATCTATACACTAATCCACCCACCCACCAATCCACCCATCCATCCATCTACACACCACTCCATCCACCCACTCATCAATCTCAAACTTAGACATTTTGTAAATCTCATGATAGTGACAAGTCTTACTGATGCTAATTTCATTATTTTTTAATCAGTTTTGTGGAACATGGACAAGGTCATTCACAGACAGTTGTTACTCTTAGCAGTGACCCCTCTCCAAAACCTTCAAAACGACTACCACCACCAATTCCTCTACGACCAGATTTAGGTGAAGGTATTGAAAACGATGTCTCGGTGCCGATTAGTCCTCCAGTACCAAAGATACCACCACCTGTTATGGAGAAGAAACCAAGGTCTACCAAGTAAGTCAAATGTTTCATTTCAAATTACAGTAGTTTCCTATTTTAGGGCTTCTGGGCCTCAACTTTCAAATTTCAACAGCTCTATAGGCTACTTTGTTCTAGTAATAAATTACAGACCTGTGAACCACTAAGCATTACTTTTAGTTTTAATTTAATGTGCAAACCCTTTGTGTTTGTTTAGGTCCCATGGACGACCAGAGATTACTATCATATCAGCTCAACCTATGACAACTCCTGGAATTGTCAGTCCTTCTAGTCTAGCTCCTGCTAATGTCCCCTCACATCCATCAGCTGGTCCTGACATGACAAGCCCTGCACCAGAACCACCTATAGTCCACTCTGTTGAGTCACACTCTACGGCAACTCCAATCAGACCATGGCATGTAGCAGATTCATCATCAACGTCAACACCCACATCCATTAGTCCTATTCCACCTCCTGAAATGCATTCAAAGCCTAAACAAACCCCTGAAATAAATAAACCTATCCATCCACAACCTATATTGTCACCCTCTAGTATTATTGACGTGGTTACACCACCCTCACAACCAGTAATATCTCCATCAAGGGCAGCCCCTATAGCACCATTAAAACCTACCAGTCCATTCTCACCAAGTTCTTCAAGCACTGAATCTCCTTCGCCCAACAGAGTACTAAGAACCCCTAAAAACAGAGAGCCACCTCAGAGACCAAAGTCTAAGCCGGTTTGTGAGCTGCCCTCTGGTGAAGAGGAATCTGGTGGAAGTGCTGGTATCATGAATGCTAGTATTATATATAGTCAAGGAGAGTCACCTATTGCACCAAAGCGTAAAAAGAACAAGCCTAACAAAAGTAAAACTACTTCTGATGGCTTTGATTCAAGTTTTGGTATTAATAATTCTGCTTTCTTTGAAAATGAAGCAAACGAGCAAGATATTGATATGGGGGATAAAGAATTTACGGAACCTGCTTCTTCAAGCAAAGCAAAGGGCTTTCCAAATGTCATAAGGACAAAACCAAATGGCAAAGATAATGCTAGTGTTAGCCAAGAACCACTACAACAAACTGATAAAACAGAAAATGTGACAAAGGCCAAAAAAACAAAGCCTACGGTCATAAAGCCTTCAGTAATTATAAAACCACCTCCAGCGGCCAAGAAACCCCAGACACAACAAAATGAATATACTGAAATCCCTCCCCAAACTGCCGCCCCTTTGATACCTCCACCAGAACCAACAGCAAAACCTAAGAGCAGGCCAACACTTATTATACCAAAAGCAAAGAAAGATGCTGGAAATAAAGCTGAAGAAACCATAGTTATTTCACCTCCAGAAAAACCAGTATTAGAGAGTCAAAAGGAGGATGATCAAGATAAAAAGCCCAGTAAAACAAAACGAATCCCAAGTATAATTCGGCCGAATAGACTTAAAAAAGACACAGGTAGCCCAAAAGACAGTGTTGAGAGTTTCAGAGGGCCACCAGAAGGAGAGTGCTTACAAAGCCAACTCAAGAAAGGACCAGTAAGAAGGGCTCCTCCTCCTCCAAGGCCAGCTCCACCAAAACCTGGACCCCCCAGACCTGGACCCCCCAAAAAGGCGAAAGGATCAGAAGAACCTAAGGCTTTAATTGAGGCTACAAGTTTAAGTGTTAAGTTTGAAGCTCATCCAACAGCTCCAGCTCCAGCTCCAGCTCCAGCTCCAGCTCCAGCTCCAGCTCCAGCTCCTACTGAAACTAAGCCAGATCATGTTAAACATAGTCACCCACCTGAGGTAAAACACAGGGTAAAACACCCAAGACCTCCTACAATCGGCAAGGACAAGGAATCTGAACAGCACAGAAATATTGAGAAAATGAAACAGAAAAATGAAGAAAAGAAACCAGTGGAACCAGTGATGTCTTCTGTGGTGTCAACCAAGATAGAACCATCTGCTATTGCTTTATATGACTATGTGCCCAAAAATATAGATGAACTGTCATTCAAGGTAGAGAGAGCTATTTTGAACCATCTGGACATTTGGCTTATAGTATTTTCTGATTAGCAGAAGCCCAACACAGTCTTCTATAGCTGTTTCTGTCAGAACACATAATTTTGAAAATGGCTGTAAAAGATAGCATCCCACACATTTTTTCCTGCCACTAATGAGCTCAAGGGAGAATCCAAGGGGGATAAAGGGGGGTCGAAGCCCCCCTTCAGCAGAAAAACAAAACAAAACGAAACTTAAGAATTATATGCTTTTTTTATTGTTTTCTGTTGCGTTGACGGAAAAAACTCAATTAGCCCCCCCACCTAAACTCAATTAGCCCCCCCTAAAATTTTGGCTGGATCCGCCCTTGGAGCTCTATCATTTCCATTCCCTTGGACTACAGTTGCATCTTTCATTATCACAGTAGTCAGTACTGATTGAGCATCCTTTGTTCTCTCTGGCCAGGTATTCATTTTTTGTTGAATATTGTTTGAAACACAGTTTCATAATTTGTCTTATTTTAGGCTGGTGATGAAATATTTCTCATCAAGAGAGTTGATCATGAGTGGTACGTTGGGAGATGTGGAGACAATGAAGGCATGATGCCAGTAAAATTTGTAGAAATCATAGAAGACTTACCTCATGAAGCAGAAGAGCCATCAACATCACACAAGGTAACATGGAACTTTCCTAAGATAGCAAACATGGTGCATTGTGGTCTAGCTTGGGTACAAACATCTTTTCGTTTGTCAAGCTTTCTATGGTGTTTTTTTGTTCCACTAGATAACAATGCATCCTGTTTATCAAACTCGAAATGGCTTATGACAGTTTTTTGGTAATTGCCCTGCAAAAAGTATAAAAGATCAGTAATTATGAAAAATAAACTATTTATATTTAATCCACAGCCCTCGCCACACACCTCTACATTGCTCAGTACAGTTGCCTTGTATCATTTTGAAGCACAGTCAAGTGATGAACTAAGCTTTCATGCAGGAGACACTGTTCACCTCCTTGAGATGGTCAACGATGAATGGCTTAAAGGACAAAGTTGCGGGAAAATTGGGATATTCCCAGCAAGCTTTATAGACTTTGATGAAGATATGAAACACCAGCTTCAACAAAAACAAACATTAAAACCTGCAGCATTAAACAACATTTTTCAAAAAAAATTAACGAACAAAAGCTCTGTCGTTTCTTCTGGTCCAAGATGTACAGCTCAGTATGATTATGACTCTGGTAATCCAGATGATTTAAGGTTCGATGCTGGTGACGTCATACGGATTACAGAAAGAATTAACATTGAGTGGCTAAAGGGAGAGATTCATGGAGCTACTGGGATGTTCCCAGCTGCTTATGTAGACATTATAGAGGACATACCTCTACAAGAGACAGCTGTAAAGCATGGTAAGACGGGGTAAAACTCCGTAGACAATTCCTGGATGAAAGACATACTGAGGGGGAGGAAGTGTTCATATCAGCTCCCCTCTATGGGGAGAGAGGGTGGGGGTTAGAATTGCAAGGTTTTTTTAAAGACACAGTTCTCTCATTAAGATTCAATGAGCAGGATGATGTTCCATTGCTTCAACTATTTTGTCAAACATTTACTGACAAATGAATGTTACTCTAGAAAGAAGCCTATGGTAGCCTGTCAGTATACAAACAGAAACTATGGTTTAGTGTTCAGATGCACTCAGGTTAGATAAATGGCTGAAATTAAGATTATATTGGCAAAATTATTCTTTTTAGCTCTACCTGTTGCAAAAGCTCTTCATGATTATGACAGTCATGAAGCAAGTGACTTGTCATTCAAGAAAGGAGATAGGATTACGATAATAAAGAAAATTAATGATGATTGGTTGGAAGGAGAACTTAATGGTCACAAAGGGATCCTGCCGTCTGTGTATGTAGAATATGTAGAGTCATCTTCATCAACACAACATCATGAAGGTATGGCATCAAGCTCTCTTTCCCTTCCATTTTCATTTTCTGTGTTTCATTTATTCTCTCTCCCACTATCCCATTCTCTTTCTTTCCTCTTTTTCACCTTCCTTCCTTCCTTCCTTTTCCAACACCCTCCCTCCCTCCCTCCCTTTCCCCCTTCCTTCCTTACTCCCTTCTCTCACTCCTTTCCTTTAGTTGCTTTTGTTTGTTCCCTTCTTCTCTCTCTGTCTCTCTCTCTCTTCCTTCCTTCCTCATTCTCTCCCTTCCACTCTCTTTCCCCTTCCCATTTTTCCTTTCTTCTTCTTTTTTCATATACATTCCAAGCCTTGTGCTGTTTTTGTTTTCTCAGTCCAAGGTCATAAGCTACAACCACAAGATCACTTATTGCCAAAAGGAAAAGCCTTGTATGATTTTACTGCCGAGCTTGACAGTGAACTCTCCTTCAAGGTATGTTCAATTCTAAAGACAAATATAACTCTCTAAAGCCAAGTAATGAAATCAGCTGGTTTTTGTCTTAGCTGCTCTGTTATCTTATTCTTTTACAGGCTGGAGATGAGATAATCCTATTAAAACAAATTAATGAAGAATGGATGGAAGGAGAGTTCAATAATGACATTGGACAATTCCCAGTAGCATTTATTGAAATCTTGGTGCCCTTGCCATAAATAATAAGTTGTTTTTACATGCATATTATGTGTTGTTTTAGGATGAATGGACCCATTTTCATCTAGTATGAATGTTATTCTCATGAGAATAAAAAACCTAAGGCTAACCAGCCAAAAATCTTGTGTGCAAGCCAATATGGCTGCCACATAGGAAAGATTCATCTTAGAAAAAGTAAGTGAAAGTAATATTCATATCAAGCACAAGGTCCTGGAAGGAGGAAGTGTGGGACCTCAGCTTTTTACACAGGGATCCCATCACACTACATCATTAAGAATGGTGTCAGTTTTGATGCTTTAAATCTAAAAGCAATTTTACTAAAAATATTATGATTATTATTATATAAATAAATAAATTTCTTAGTTATAAGGAGAATTATAAAATAACTGTTATAAATCTCACATTCTGATTGGTTGGAAGCAAGTTCTTTATGAGAGCACACACCACTGCGCACATTAAGTTGTGTGTCATCCTATCCATAATAACAGTTATTGTAATTTGTATTTTATAAAAGAAATAAAAACTTGCTTGCTGTGCTGTGTAGAATTATAAGGCACTTGACAATTGGCAGAACATTTGAGAAGTGTTGAGAAGCACTCCACTTCATGTCGAGCTTCTCCTAACACTTCTTTCATGTCCGCATGCTACATTACTGCACACAGACTAACACACATTTTCTGTTCCTTCAATAAAAATTCAGCTGAGCAGTATTCTATCAGCTAACCTCTTGAAACCTGTCAAATTTTATCAAACTCCCTAATACAAGCTAATCTAAATGAGAACAGTTTTCTATAATGCTTGGCTAAATTTTTCATTTTAAAGTATGGCACCAAAATATTATGTTCATAACATTTTTCAAATGAAATTTATACATAAAAAAATTCTATAGAACAAACTGTCAATCAGTTTTGGAATTATTAAAATATTTTATATAATTAACAAAATTAAATCATTGATTTTCAGTTTCTTATAGTCATTTTAGGTGATAGTAATGATGTTCACAGGGTATGTGCTACTCCTTAAACTCCTTGAAAACTTAATTCTTGAATTTAATTCATGTTTTCAAGCGCACTTGAAAAGCTCTTGAATTTTACGATTTTAGCAAAACTCCTTGAAAACTTTTTTTTTTGAAAAAGTTTTGCTTTGATCATTACTTGCATGGTTCTGAAGTAGGTCTAGTCAGAAAGATCGGAAAATCTGAAAGTCGGCCATGTGCAACCACTGTGTAAAACCTTGGCATAGTTAGCTGAACATACTCCTTGAAAATTTATTTTTGGGTCCTTGTATACTCCTTGAATTTTAAGTGGTTACCTTAGCACGAACCCTGTGTTCAATGTTGATCAATTTAATTTTGTAAAGTAGATTATCTAAATTTATATCATGGTTAATAACTATTGTTTGACTAACATCCAGATAATAATACAAATATTTTAAATACAGTAATTACATGTGTGGTGTTTTCATTTGTTTGCAATAAAACTAGTTGTGCCTCTAGGCTGGTATTTTTAGGGTCTGTGTATATTCCTTCCCCATTACGGAGGGGCACAAAGAATGTCTGTTATTTAAACTGATAGAAGACAACTAAAATTAGAATTTGAAAATATGACACTTCACAAGATTTACTAGTCCCCACTACAGTGCTATTATTGGACAGGTCCCTCTTATGTTTACGGATCTCCCCCTCCAGACTACACTTATAACCAAGCGTTATCTTTGAAAATGAGCATGAAAATAAAATGACCTTGTCCAAAAAACCTTTAGCATTATTCCATTCTCATTGTCTGAAATTATTAAGTTTAACACTCCTTTATTTATTCTGAAAAATGTCATTCTTAAATTTCACCCCTACCCCTCCACCCCATTTTGAGGAAAAAATTCAAATAACACTAACTATATCCAATGACGTCTATGTAAATAAAAGCCAATAGAATTCCAAGGAATGGTACACGTGACTTATATTCAGAAGGAATACCATCTTTGGTAATACGTTCATGTTCTATATACACCAAACTGCCAATTCGGACTATATATTTTTCTTGTATTTATGTGATTTGGCATCATTTGCTGTCATTGGGTGTCATTCCCCATCATTC